AAAATTTAAAATAGTCAAGATCATCATGCCTAGATCATAAATTCCTAAATATTTAAAGGGGGTGGTTGGTATAATGTTGCAACCTTAAACAATCCAATTAAGGCACACTTCCAAATTTTATCATGTACTTTTGGTGTAAAACATTTTTAAGATTATCTAAAAATCTATTTTTATATCTAATTATAAAATTTTAAACTTTAAAAATGATTAAATCAAGTAGATCTATAAACATATGAAAATCTTAAGAATGGACGGTCTAGATAATGTGTTGCAATTTACACTATTTATGAGACTCGAAATCTTCTTCTTTTTCTTTAATCTTCATACATCCCAATGTTGAGATGATCAATTAGAGGGTTTTTCAATATTAAAACAACTTTTTTGGATAGATTTTTTTTATGCATATTTAATCCTACATTTTAAGGTTGTAACCTTGCATAAAATTTTTCCGTATTTAAATTCACAATCCATTGAGGGGACGCACATGTACTGTGAGGCGGGGGGCTCATAGAAACCCATTTTTTGGATAATGGGGTAATACGTGGAGGCCAAATGCTTTTCCTTTTTAACAAACTTTTGCTTTTACCGTCTCGGAGATAGCGACCGAGATTCCTCCCTCTCAAGGTTGAGTCACATGTGGGAGCAAAAAGACGTCACTTTTCCTTTCTTTTTCCCAGTAAACAAGCCGGAAAACTTGCCGGCTGTGTCTCATGTATAGAAATTTTGGACATGTTTTATTTCTTCCCTTTGTATTTTTCTTGTAAATTTTTTGAGAGACAAGACCCAGCTTGTAATTTAAATAGAAACGTATAAGATTGTTGTAAATTTATAAGGGAAATATATGGAGGAATTCAATTTTATTTTTAAATTAATTTAAATAGAAACGTATAAGATTGTTGTAAATTTATAAGGGAAATATATGGAGGAATTCAATTTTATTTTTAAATTAATTTAAATAGAAACGTATAAGATTGTTGTAAATTTATAAGGGAAATATATAGAGGAATTCAATTTAGTTTTGAAATTTAAAAATGGTTTAATATAGTAGTCAAGCTTACTTATAGGAAAAGTATAGAATGATAACATTTATCTTTGGTACAAGGTAGTCGCAATCAATCTTCACCATTAGATGTAAAATTAAATAGTTGTATTTAGTCCATTGACCAAGCTTAAACTTTAAAAGAAATTTTTTTGAACTTTGTGATACAACCATGCTATCGGATTTCACATCCGATGGTTGTAAATAATTATAACCTTCTTGTATCAAAAGTAAATAGTCTTATTATATACCATCCCTATTTATAAAGGATGCGATTTGTATAGATCCCATGCTTTATATAAACTTTTCCCATTCATAAAAAGCATAAACTGTAATTTAATTTTATAATTTTTGTTAAGCTCAAATTTGATAGTTACAAACTTTTTCACTATTGTACATTTTTGGAAATTATGTAAAATAGTTAAAATAATAAATAACCAAAATACCTCTACGATATTCAAGGGTATGTTCGTAATTTTTTTAACAAAGCAAATTCTAGATGTAGTTTTAGTCAACGATAGTGACAAGTATGCATATATTAAATTTGAACGTAAACTATGTATAGAAAAGATTAAATTTAAAATAATAACTTTAGAAAAGAATGTCTCCATAGAATATGAAATATATGAAACCATTTTCAAATATTTGAATTCCAAAACTTAAATAGAATGCATCTGTAAATTCTCCAAATTATAATTCATATGAAGAAAACGTATTTTCCCTTTCTTTCCTTTTTCTAAGCTTTCTGTCTTTTAAACTAGAAAGCTGCATTTTTGTATGGGAAAGTGTTATATCCATCCAAGGATGCATTCCTACCTTTCATCTTCCGATGCATAAACCATCCATCACAAAGATGGATGTAAATGGTAGTCCCTCCAAAAAAAAAAAAAGTTTAAAAACCATTGGTCTAAACACCTCCTTCAAAACCATTTATCTTTTTTTATTTTTTAAATTTATTTTTTAATATATAATAATCTCTATGTTAGATATTACTATATATTCTTTAAACAATAGGGTCAAAATCTGTTAAAAAAAACAAATAATTAAGAGGGGGCGCATATCTACATATGAGTCGTCGGACTTGTAGATACTTCAACTTTCTTTTTACAGTCGGTGGAGACACTTTTATATTCAAATTTGTCTTCATATTCTTTATGTATTTATCTAAACAATCAATGAATCCGAAGGGGTTGGGCTGGCAGTTGACCGTCATGATCAACATTTTTTAGCATATAGATTACCCTATCTCCACCGTTGGATAAAAAGGTTATTGTTAAAGCAAGAGCATGTATACTATGCTCCCTTGGGAGCATAGTTTATTTCTACTCCCTCAATTAAAGGACCTATTTGAGACGAATCTTTTCAATTGAAATTTTGAGAACCACTTAAAAATTAGTACATGATTATATTTAAAAAAAAATTTAAAATTTGAGTTTTTTAGCTATTAGATCTCACCATCCAAAAATTAAATGGACACTATTCAACCTGGATACATAATTTTTTTCAAGTACATCGAGGGGTATAATTAGGGTTTTTTTAATTGGGGTTAATCGATGGGTGAGGTGATAACATCTCCAAAATTTAGGATTCTAAAATTAGGCGTAGTTGGGATTTTTAACTGTGGGAGTAAATGGACCTTCAACTCCCACGGGAGTAGAATATCATTTACCTTTAAATTATGGAAATAGCAAAATGTAATTTTTTTCTTTTACCCCACGTCTTTCAAATCATTCCAAGATTGGAATCACAAGCCAAATCTTCCTTTGGTCCCACAAACACACCGAAAGGACGTATCCAAATCTCTTCCTCACCCCAACAAGAAAGTCTCACGCTAAGCAAACACATATATACCTTGTTCTGATCCAAATCAGCGGCCTATTTTTTTAGCTTAAATTATATTAAATTTTTAATTTTCTTTTTTAAAATTTTTCTCTATTGACATCAGTCATTTTTAAATCGAACCATTGATTTCTCTCCTTAATTAGTGAACAATGTATCCCTGCAATGCAATTATAACAAGACAAATAAAACTCACATTAAGTTTGCCTTTGGTTTGGTGGAAGCCAACCTCCAAAACGAACTTCTCTCACCAAATTGTAAAGGAAACGGTTCCGATGTGGCCAGCCCGCATATCGTAGAAATGCGGGATTGGCAATAAATATATATTTTTAATATAATTTGATTCTAATTTTTAAAAAATATATAATCTTTAACATGGAGAAAATAAAAACAGAAATAATAATTATATTAAAAAAAAGACAAGCTTTCTATGCTTTTCCTATATCATAAAAGTTCTATCATCCCCTTTATCCAACTGTCCAATCTGAACGGTGAGTTAAGATTGCCCCAATCATAATGTCACGCCTCTACATTATTTTATTTTTAATTTTTTTCTATAAACTATTTTGACACCAAAATTTGGATGTACATTCCCTCTATTAAACTCGTACTAGCTAAAAATATTTTAAATAAAATAAAATAACCAAAATACCCCTGAAATTTTTAAGGGTTGGTCATTATATTTTATTGAAAAATTATTTTTAATATTTTTTATAGGTGCACCCCAATGAGAAGATGACACATACCAAGTTTAATATTCATACAATATGTATAAAAAAAATTTTAAAAAAAAAACCTTGAGATGTCGGATTTAAGATTAAATGATGAGTGACTCTCTTGATCAAAATTGGACGGCTGGATGGTAGGGAAAGGATAGAACTTCTATACTATAGGGGAAGCATAGAAACATTTCCGTTAAAAAAATATTTAGACCGATAGTTACACTATGTTTTTAGATGGGGGAAAGCTTTCTATGTTCTCCTTACGACATAGCAGTTCTATCCTCCTCCTACCATCCAGCCGTCCATTTATTATCAAGAGAGCCACTCATCGTTTGATCTTAGATTTGACGTCTCAAAGTATTTTATTTTTAGTTTTTTTAATACAAATTTTTTGAATATGAAATTTCGTACGTGACATCTTCTAATTGGGGCACAACTATAAAAAACAGTAACAATAATTTTTCGATAAAAAATAATGACCAAAATACCTCTTGAAACGTTCAGCGGTATTTTGATCATTTTATTTTATTGAAAATAATTTTTTTTATATTTTCCGTTAGTGCGAGTTTAATAGAAGAATGGACGTCCAAAATTTGGTGTCAAAATAGTTTTAAAAAAAAATAGTGTAGAGATATGACATTGTGATTGAGACAATCTTAGCCCTCCATTTGAATTAAAAAGACGATAGAAGTTGTATGTTGTGAGGGGAGCACAAAAAGCTTTCTGTTTAGATGGACGGCCTATAGATGCTTTATAACTGGACTGTATTTCTAGATGGACCGCCTATAGATGCTTTATAACTGGACTGCATAATGTAGAAATGCGGTCCAGCCCGCATGAAACATGGGAACATGCCGATGGCCCTCTCGTCCCCAATTTTTTTTTTATCTCACGGCAGGGTTTGCGTGGCAATGGCTAAAACTTACACGACTTTCATATTCCACGAAAGCAACTGCGTGCAGCGAGGTCCAAGACCCAAATAAAAAATCTCTTTGTCTCTCTCATATTGTGTGGGACCACTGATTTGTCATTTCAAGGGCTGGATAAGCCATCCCACGGCCCCCCCTCTCTTTCGACCATTTACCCTGTAACGCATGGCCGCCTCTCTCGCTTTCTCTCTAATTAAACGTTCAACGCAAGCGGTTACTATCTCTATCTCTATCTCTATCTCTCGTTAAACGCTCAACGCAAGCCGTTTAAAAAACGCACCCAACCGCTACTAAACTCCGTCTCTTCATTCGAGGCCACGCCGCTCTCTCTCTCTCTCTACTAAATCAACAAATATTCACTCAACTCTCCCTCTCTCTAAACCAGTAAATAGTAAATATTCTCTTGAATGATCCCTCCCTCCCTCCCTCCCCGTTCCCTCGAAACTCCAATTATTAATCCAAGACCTCTCGTTGCGGACCCCAACTTCTTTATAACGTCAATAATTCATTCCCGAACCCCCCATCTCTCTCTCTCTCTCTCTCTCTCTGTAATGGAGTTTGTCACAGATGAGATCGATCTTCAGGACTGGGAAATCCTCAGTGAAGAGGATGGCTCCTTCCAATCCAAGGATCTCTCTCAACAGCTCTCCTTCTCTCATGGAGGCCGTCTCGATGTCAATTACTTTGTCTGCCCCATTCACTCTCCTCGACTCCGCCAAATTAGAGAAGAAAAACCACCACCTCTATATTTAGCCGAGAAGGAAAACCGGATTGTCGGTTCTGTAGTGGAGAAAGACCCGCCACTGGATTTGGCAGAACCCACACCACAGACGGTCCCAGTAACGGAGGTCAAACTGTGCACCGGTCCCCCTGTATTTTCTCTTGAAAATCTTGACCGGGAGGGATCAGACCTAATTTCTCAGGTGTTCCTCAAGAAAATGGAGGAACCCAAATTTGTCGACACAACCAGCATGGACGGGCACCGCTCGATCGACCCGATTGCAGAGGAAAATCAACGGAAAGCGGATGGTTTAGTAGAGAGGGAGAGGAAGAGAATTGGACGGGAAGCCAGCGACCCAATTGGAGAAGAGAAGGGGGATTTGGGGAGAGAAAGGAAGACAATTGGATGGGATGGATGTGTTAATATTTGGAGGTGGAGAATTACAGGGATTGGTACTCTGTGTTCTTTGGGCATGGCCGCTGCTACAATTTCTATCATCATTTTCGGGAGACAGAAGCATAAGCAACATCATCAAAATCATAAGCTCAGGTTTCATATTTACGCAGAGGATAAGGTATGATTCATGGAAATAATTTTTCTCTTTTTTTCTTACGATTACAATCCTAGAGTTCCTCACGAGCCCAATCTATGTAAAAACTAAAAAGTCGATGAAGTTGTCCTTTGAAATGCATGCTTCTCTGTTTATTGGCTTCTTTTGTATTAGAGTCTTGGTTCGATTTAGTGTTCAGACAATCAAAAAGTACTCCGGCTCTGCCAGAGACGATTTACTCGGACAAGTCCAAGCAACTCATAAGCTTTTTTTCTTTTTTTTTTTTGTCTCAGGGTTTCAAGCGTATGGTTGAGCAGGCCACCAGGTTAAATGATGCGATCTCTGCTGTTAGAGGGGCTCCTTTAAACAGAGCTCAGATCACTTTCGGTGGTTGTTATGATGGAATTTGAGTCCGATCCGGATTCTAGAGAGAGACACAGTTAGTGGGATGCCATCATTGTGTGAGAGATGAGAGTTACTTCTACTTTTAGAGAGAGAGAGAGAGAGAGATTACTACCCAGTGATTCAATTTAGTGAGAGAAGAATTTAGCAGTGTGTAAATGTGCAGAGAGAAATTACTCGTATCGTGTAAAGAGATGTAATGTGTGCTATCTAGATTCTAGAGAGAGAGAGAGAGAGAGCTCAGTATGTGTGACTTTTCTGTTTCTGGTTGTTTGATGATCATGTAGACTAATATAAATGTGTGTATAGCTGATTATGTACAGACACCCATATTTTATATGGTCTAAACTCTAAAGTTTGAACCTTCTTCTCTCTGATGTGGACTTGTAGTTGAAGATGACCCGAGCCAACTGGAACAAAATTGGATTTGTTTTAAATTTTTAATAGTCGTGCTTTGAACCTATCAAACTCCTTGTTAAGCATGAAAGGTACATCAAGAGAAGGGTGTGGTTTCTTCTGTAAGGTTGCAACCTTCAAACAATCCAACTAAGTTGTACCTCTAAATTTTATCGTAACATATAATCTTGGTGTCAATTTTTTAAGATTATCAAAAAAACTATTTTTTTCTCTAACTAATATATTTTAAATATAATAAATAGTTAAAATCAAGTTAATCTAAAACATATGAAAATCTTGAGAATGGACGGTCTAGATAATGTGTTACAAGATGCATTATTTTTAGGACTCTAAATTTTTTTTTTTTTTTTTTTTCATGTTCATACATCTCGATAAGGAGTTGATCTATTAGAGGGTTTTACAACATTAAATCAATTTTTACCTATGGATTTTTTAGGTGTATATTTAATTATATATTTTAAAGTGCACCTTCAAATCTATACAAACCTCACTGCAATTGATCAATTACGATTATTGACAATACGAAGTCAAGATGATCATCTTGACTTCGATTATTGACTTCAAATGCATATTGACAATACGATTATTATAATGTGTTCTTTTCTAATTTGAAGTATCAAGCATTGTATCTTGCTTTTGTTGGGGTGAATTGGATTCCATGTAAAGCTGAAAAAAAAATTCATGGGTAATTTATTTTTAATTGGCAGAACCGGAAATCAGCTGGGTGGGCTAGGCCAGCTCTTAATCCGGTTTGGGTTTGACAGGGTAAGGTGGATTCAACCTGCACCATCTTATTTCACTTGGATGCAGTGAGGTTTGTATAAGATGTCAAGATGATCAATTGGAGAATTTCCTAGTGAGGTTTGTATAGATTTTATCCAGTTTAAAAATATTTAATTATATATTTTAAACAATTACGGTAAAGTGCACCTTCAAATCTAATTAAAAGATGTATTTTAAGTGTTGAAACTCTCATTATGGTTTAAGAGTCTATTTTTTCACATCTATCGTGAAATTGAAAGTTCCAAAAATAGTGTAGATCTAATAGATCTAACAGATCTATGTACACTAGATAATGTATTACAAGATGTAGTATTTTTAGGACTTAAAATCTATTTTTCTTTTTATATCCATATATATCGAAGTCAAGATGATCAATTGGAGAATTTCCTAGTGACAAAACAACTTTCTTCGATGGATTTTTAAATTGCACTTTACTTTTAAAGTATAAGGTTGACCTCTTATATAAACTTTTTCCTCACAAAAATATCTTTAAAAAATACTTAAATGTCCATGATGTTTGGGAATTCTAAATAAGCATGGTCATTTCGATATTTTAACCAATCTAGAAAAAGTAAGGGCATTCTTATTATTTGATTGAGGCCTCTTTGATGGATCAAATTATTGAAATACCCCTACTTATTTAGTGTTCCTAACCTTGAATAGGGGCAACTTAAAAATTTTAAAGATATTTTTTGATGAGGTATTTAAATAAATTAAAAACTAAAAAAAGAAGCTCTTTAATGTTAACTAGAATTCCCTTAATAATTTTATAAGGGTTTCAACCCTTTAAATGATATTTTCCCTCAAAATAAATAACAAAGTAAAAGGAGCTTGACTCAGCCTAGTATCACTAGGTCCAATAAGTTTGGTAGCATTTTTTTTTATGTGTAAAAACATTAAAGGGTCAAACCACCTTGCAAAATTACCTTTTAACATCAGTAGTGCTGCTCTTTAAATTTCACTTCACTTAGGTATCTCTTTTTAAGATGAGGTAAAAACGACAAAAACTACCATGAACCATAAACAAGTAAGACATTTGGGTAATTTACACCCACTTAAGTGTCCTAAACAGTTCTCATAATGCCACTCGTTAGTTAATGTAGATATTTAAATAAGCGAAAAAATAAAAAATTAAGTGGCCAAAGCAAAATATGGAAAATATTGTTAATTGCTCAAGATTAGTGACATAGAGCTACTAAATGACAAAAAAAAAAAACCATTTTTATATAGAGACGAGGCTTTAAACAATCAAATTTGAGCCTACCTCAAAAATTTTACTAGAAGAGGTTGTTTTGATGCTTAAATATCTTCAAATTGATTGTCTGGACATCAAGATGCATGGACATAAGAAAAAAATGGATTTTAAGTTTTGAAAATAATGTATTTTGTAACGTATTTTTGGAGCATCAATTTTCAAGATTTTCATAGATCTGTCGATCTACAATATTTTTGAAGCTTTAAATGTTAGGAATACATATGAAAATATATTTTAAAGCTATCATAAAGATGTTCAGTAGTGAAACCACATTTCTCTACACTATTTCAAGGTAGGCTCTAGGCTCTATACAAACCGCATCCAAAAAAATACTCTTAATTGTTTGCAGTTAGCAACATCGAACTATTTTTTGGCTTGTAAAACTTTTGTAGAGGTATTAAAGTAAATTAAAAACTAAAAACGGAAGCCCTTTAATCTTAATTGGGATCCCCTCAATAATTTTGTAGAGGGTTTCAACCCTTCAAATCATGTTTTCCCTCAAAATAAATAACAAAGTAAAAGAAGCTCGACGCTACTCGGTGTCAATGGGTCAAGTAAGTTTGGTTGCATTTTTTCTCGGTGTCACTGGGTCAAGTAAGTTTGGTTGCATTTTTTTTCAGGTCAGATATCAAAGGATCAAACCACCTTGCAATATTATGTGCTTTAAATTTCATTTCACTTAGGTATCTTTTTTAAGACAGAGGTAAAAATGACTAAAATCAATGTTTTGAAATGCCACCGCATTATGTGCTAGGCGTTGCCCACATATGTGGTTTGGAGAGATGCACCCGCATCCCTTCACATCAGAGCCGCATCCCGCATCTCACCACATCAGGCCGTATAATATGTTTGCCATTCTTTTCAAAACTATACCCCTAGAGCAGAGGTAATAAGGCCCTTTTGACCTTCGAAATGGGGGGAAAAGGGTTTGGGGGGTATTAAACCCCCAAACAATATTTTTCGGCTACATTTGTGTATTTTATTGGATTGATTGAAAAAATTGGGCGGAAATTTTATTTGTTGAAGTTCTTCGTTTTGTGTATTTGTTGATGTTTGGTTGTTGATTTGTATTTTTTGGGTGTTGATTTGAGGACGTTAAGGCTAACTTTTGACAACAAATTGAGAGTTTCAAGAGCCGTGAAGGTGATGATTTTATTGACTCTTCTTGAATTTGACTTTAAAACTCTTTAATCTTCATGAACTTTGAGTTTGTAGTATTTTATAACTTTAAAATTTATGGCTTGGCCGCATCACTCATTTTAAAACACCGACTAAAACTACCCATGAACCATGAATAAGTTAGACATTTTGGTAATTTGCATCCAGTTAAATGTCCTAAGCAGTTCTCATAATGCCACTCGTTAGTTAATGTAAACCTTTAAATAAGCAAGAAAAAAAAAGAAAATTTAGTGGCCAAAGCACAATAAGGAATAGATTGTTAGTTGTTCCAAATTAGTGACATAGAACTACTAAATGACAAAAAAATACCTTTAATTATTGAGAGTTAACAACATTGAACTTCTTTTTTGCCACCACGCATTCTTAGAGAGAGGTATAAGATTGTGCAAACCATGTTAATCTAAAGTGAACATCCATCGCTAAGATCAACCATCTTAATATAAAGTGAATATTATCCACTTTTAATCTATCTGGACTTTTCACCAGATAATAAGAAATTTAAATAATAGAAAAACATGGTCAAATATACCTAGGTCTCATAGAAGGTCATAAAAGGTTTTCTAAAAAAATATTTTCAACAAATAATAAATTTCATTAAAATAACACTCCCAAGGTTCCTAAAATAATGGAAAACATGAGGCGTCACCCTATGTGGGGCATGTGGCCAATGTGGGCCCAGATCCCACACCAAATGGACTCCACATGTGTAGGGGCTAGGCCGTTGGCCCCCCCTCCCCCCTCCCGTCTATCCCACCCAATTAAAATACAATTTTGAAAATACCTCTTTGTTTAAAATTATTGAAGTACCTTTCAAGACTTCTTATGCCATTTAAAATATTTTAAAATTTTTAAAATATCCAAAATCACATAAATACAAATTTATTTAAAAACAAAACTTTTTGAGTTCTACAAAAAACTAGAACACACAAAAATACTACTTAAACATAGATTGGTACCAAAAAATTTAAAAACAAGTGGCTATCAAAGTATTTCACCTATGTCAGGCTCCATAATTCACTAGTCTTATTAAACTAGCTCAACGAGATTTGTGACCAACAATCAAATACATGAGTTCATGATTGACTCGTCAAATGCTGCCAATAAGTAATAGTACTATAATCTTAGTATGTGTATTACATGTTTCACCCCTTAAGAGCAAGTGAAAATGCATATATTATTATATTGTAATGGGGCTTTATCTATGCAAATGTATATGTATTCTTTTATATAGGATTGCTTCTCCAAAATGTGACTGTCACATTTCATGACGCATGGAAGTGTTGTTAAGGATTTTGCCCTCACTCTTACAAGCATAAATCTGGACATAAGAGCCCACAAAACTCCCCTGACCTACAAACAACATCCCTGGGCGTCTATCATACCTGAATAAGGAATGGCCATTTATAAACCCTCAATGATAGTGCCGCATGCCTAGGGGTAAGGGTTTTAAACATGACCTGGGCTATAGGCTACCCAACCTTAGGGCAATCAACCACAACAAACTCCAATTGAAGAGTATAATCCACTATAATTTATTACATTTACATGCTTTCACGGGCTTTAAAGGCCACACAATCCGACAAATAATTATTAAAATGCCTAAAGGATATCCTGGAACTACTACTCGTTTTTAGGTAGATCAATAGTGATTTGGATTTATAGAAAAAAAATTAAAATTAAAATACGAAATATGGTCTTGTTTGTTAGATTGTCCCAGATTGAATATGAGTCGTTGGGCTT